TGAAATAAGCTTGTTAAATCTAGTGTTAAATATTGAACGTAGACATTTTTATGGTAAATACAATTTTTAGAAACGAATGTGATTATTTTCGAGGAACAGCCCTAAGTAAGCAAGAAGCCCTTCGACTCGTCACTTGGCTGAAAATGTCGAAAAAGTATTGATTATTCGAGTAACGGGACTGACTCTCCCCGCCGATCATTCACTTCCCTTGCCCTAGTTTTCTATAAAAGCTACGAAGGGTCGGGGTGTAGGGGACACGTGCAACGACGCCTTCTTTTGCCAGCCCTTCGCCCCTCGCACCCCAGACCAGTTGCGCGCCCTCTGCCAATCTGTTCGTCCACGAAGAAAACGACCGAAGTTTGGAAGCCCAATAATAGACAACAGCATAAATAAAACTATAATAATCATAAGATATATTAAAGATAAATAAAGATATCAAATAAACTTTTAGTCGCGAGATTAAGCTTGACCGGCACAGCGTTGCCCACTTTTACATATTTTCGTTAAATCAAAATATTTTAGGAAACAAAAATAAATTAATTATAAATATATAAACAGTTATTATTTACGTCAACAAAAGTCACCTTCTTAACAGCACTTAAGGGACATAAATGGCCATTACTACCTCTTTCCCGTTCAAAATATTCTAATAAGGTTGCCATTAGGGTTTTCGGAACCGGAGCCGTTTGTCGGAACAGGGAATTTCGGTACCACGCCTCTAAGGAACCGGGATTTCCCGTTTTTTTCGGTACTTTCGGTACTGGCTAATTTTTTGTTCAATGATGGCACATTTCGTCAATCAGCAAGCAAGGGATGGGTTTCAAAAATAAAATCGATAGAAATATGTTTGTGTTTTCTAATGAAAATAATATAATCAGTCAAAAAATGCAAATTTCTATAAAAAAAGAAACAACATAAAATATAACTAATATACTGAGCAAAGTTATACTTATAATAATAAAATAACATATCTAAACTTCAATAATTGTTAATTAACATTATAGGAACTTCAAAAGAACTTCAGAAGTAAGAACAATAAGAGATAACATCACTATTTATTTAGAAGAGTTTGATTTCGACCTCCAGAAAGTATCAATGAACTTTCGCATGCAACAAAAAATAATTTTTAATTACATTTTATGAACAAGTAAAAAAAAATCTGTACCGAAAGTACCGAAGGATAATATCGGGAATTTTTATTTCGAGTCCCGGTTCTTTGATGTCTCAATAGAACCGGGAATTCCCGGTTCTGAACCCTAGTTGCGATGAGTTATTTGGAACGGCTTTAAGCTATCTTGTACACTTCGCACTAAAAGAGGTTCAAAAGTATCACAATACAATTCAGTTAAGTGAAAAACTCGTAATACAAAACTAAAGTGTTAAAAAGGAATGACAATGTCAGAAAATAAAGCAAATGTGGCAACTTGACATATTTTACAGCAGAGCTACCACCTGAATCCCAAGCGGGAAATTTAAATTCCAGTGAATAAGCCCAGCACCGAATATGTCCATGGTTGGCAACAATGAATTCAAAAATGGCGTCCTCGATTACGTAACTAAAAGTTTAATTGGTATCGCTTATACTATGATTTGTTTTGACCCAACATATGACCTAATATCCGTTTTTCAAGATTTGACGATGTCATTGGCATTGGCGTAGTTTCAGGATTTTCTAAAAATAAAAAAGAGTATTAAATAAGTATGTACAGATTACATTTTTCGTGGTGACTATCGTGTGTTTCATTGCGATCTTTTCAGATCTGTTGTCCTCTTCTCATCAGTAGGTTACCATTTTCGAGACTATTCTTTTCAAAAGTCTAGCAACTTGGAGACTGAATCCTCCATATAGCTTTTTGCCAATGGCTCCTTGGTTGTCGCACCAACATAAAAGTGTTCTGTCGTTTTTTTTTCAGACTGATAACCTGCACAAGGCTTCGTCCGTCAGTCCCATCAGCTTAGAAGCCTATTACTTGACACTAGCGATTAACCGCAAACTGGGGATACACACTAGGGTTTTCTATTTTCGGGATCGGGATCTCGTTTTGAATTCCCAGGAAAAGAAACTGTATTTTCGGGATGCCGGTATTGACTATCAGAATGAGTAATTTGATCTAAAGAAATACTTAATAATAAAAATACAGCTACATGTATCAAAGAGAAAATTAGAAGAGAACTTTATTCATTTTCAGTAAGTAAAAAATACAATTCATGTTGCAAAAAAATATAGCAAATACGGAAATATAACTTTTAAATATTGCCGTTCTGTTTAGTATAAATAAAATATTATGATATTTGAAAGATTAAAGCATAGGACTAAAGTATAAAGTCGAATCATTTTAGATTGGGCATATAAATTTTTCGGGATCCCGGGATTTAATATCGGGATTTTGAGGACATAACATTTCATTGGATTTTCATGGATTTAACAAGCGGGATCCCGGGATTTTTGTATTAAATTATTAGTTTTGTCGATATTGACGTCGACACCACAGTTGACTGTCAACAATTAAATTGTCGACATGACATTGACGTCGGCATCGCTCAGCTCTGTTTGCTATAACATAGATAAATGAAACAAGTTTAGATTGGAAAGTGCCTAAAATAAGGGCAATGTGAACACTATTTGGCGCTATTCTTGCAACGGTCGCGACCCATAGCTTTTGAAAATTTCGGAGCGGTTCGGCATTTTCCGGAATTATATCGCCAAATATTCTTTATTCAAATTTATTATTATTTTCTTTTAATTTTATAAATAAAATACAGTGTGTTGCATACAAGAAACTTTATTTTTATAAGGACATGTATGAAATACCTATGACACATTGGAAACCGACGATATGCCACGAGCCACAATGGTTTTTGCAGTTCACAGTTCACAGCACAGCTTTTTCAGTTTTTAATGCCACTTTTTCACAATTATCACAGGTTTGAGTAAATAAAACTTAAATTAAACTCACAAGATAGCAATAATTACTTCGAAAATGGACGCTTCAAACACTTTTCGGTGTTTTTTTGAAGGCGGGCGGTTTAAATTTTGAAAGATTTTACAATTTTTGAAGATTCTGATTTTGATAAGAGATATGGACAAGAGAAAATTATTTGTTTGCGGTTGTTCTTAGCAACCCCTATAGCAGCGCCAGATCGCGTACAACGGTCGCGATCCAAAACTTTGAAGGGTATTCCAATCTAAATTTATTTCGTTTATCTATGTGCTATAATGAGATTTATTTTTGAAACAAATATATATAACAAACAAACAGTGAAGAATAATGGATTGTTTACTGCTAGTGACCGATCGTGAATACGACCTTGGAAATTAACAATCGCATAAAAATTTAAATAAAGAAATTTGAAAAAAAACATGTCGACTCCGGATTCATTAGTTTGTTAATTCGTTTCCCTGCAGGCCGGCCACGTTGAGTTAATTATTCAAAATCCTACACACGAACCTCGACTCCTCAGCAACGATTTACATAAGCACCCGATGAGATAGCGATCTGGCGCATTTGCATAATTTAAAATTAATAGAGAACAGAGAGGATCGAGGAAAAAAGCGTAAAGCCATACATAAAAATTCAATTTGTGAAAGTAGTAAGAGTGATGGTAGCACACCACCCCCCGCCTTGCATTTTAATCTTTCCAGTTCACGTGATTAGGCACGCTATAGTGCTATTATTTACCCCAAAAAAAAACACTTGGCGTAATGCACTTAACACTAGTAAGGATCTTAATTTTTGTTGAAGAATTTTATATTAATAAATAATATTTTCTTGTCTTTAGCTGTGTATTTTTTTTCTAATTTTGAAAATTCGAAAGTAGAAAAAAAATCAAAAGTAAAAAGAAAATTGTTTTGCTTGTCGTAAAGTGGGGTACCAAGCTCCACTCTCACAACCGGTTTCTGGGCGTATCCTTCATCAGGTGGGTTGTCCAGGGGCTGATTCTCAGCGAAACGGCAAACAAAACTTTTTCAATATCAATCGACGATGTCGTAAAGTGTCAGTGAGATATTAGCGCATCTCCAAAAGATGGGAAAGAGAGTTTTTCAGCTCGCCCAAATTTTATATTTGGACATACATATACAGGGTGTCCCAATATTCCGTAGACATAGAATTACTACGTATTTTTGGAGTCAAAAAATGGAGTCTGTGTTTTGTTAAATGCTTTAACATTTGACATTCACAAAAAATCAAGAAAAAGTACAGGAAGGGTGACAACTATCCCCACCCTTACATAAATTTTAGTATAAATATTTTCCAACTCAACCGACGACCGATTTTCTTTTCGAGAAATGTTCTTTCTAGTATTTACTATATTCTTTATCTCTTGTTTTTCCAAAACAAACCTACAAGATATACAGGGACTTTCAATATTCCATGGATATAGATGAACAACTACGTACGTATTCTTTGAATCAAAATAAATTAATTGCATATAATTTACCTTTATACAAAAGTGCTTCGTTTGTCCGTTAGAGGGCATCAATTAAAAACAAACCCGAATGTTAATTAATTTAAAAGTTATTAATTTTTTCAAGCTTTTATGAAGCTTATTGTCAAATATAATTTGTAATTCTAATGTAAAATTCGATATTTTCACCCGTCCCGCAGTTTTTTATGATTTTTGTAAATGTCAAATGTTAAACCACTTAGCAAAACATAGACACACAAAATCTCACTCAAATTGAAATAACGGTTCTTAAAATATCTGAAATAATGTGTTTATTTTTTGTAAGTTTGATGCCCTCTAACGAACAAACGAAACACTTTTATATAGAGGTAAATTGTGTCCAATGGACTTATTTTGATTCTAAAAATATGTAGTAACTCTACGACCACGGAATATTGGGACAATCTGTATAAAAACTAGAATGTGTAGTAGTAATGAGCATTATGATTCTTTTTAGCGAATCGAATCGAATCACGCGTTTCAATTTCTTCGATATTTTTATCTCTCTTCAAGACTTTTTCTGGCTTTAGTACTAATATACTTTCTTTTTGCAGTGGCGTAGCGGTACTGAGTTGCACAGACTGCAGCGGCAGCAGCACTGCCTCGAGCGACATCACCGACCCCGGCTCCCCCTTCAGCACCGCATCCAACCACAGCGAGGACTCGGGTGGCGCGTTGCAGCCGCCTAAAATGCCGCCCGCTCAGTCCGCCCACCACCCGCCCTGGCCCTGGACTGCTGCCCACGACGGATCGTCGCCTCAGCCCTCAGTGGCGGCGCCCTACGCCAAGCGTCTCAGAACTGCCCACGAAGCACCCAAGAAACAGCCTGCCGACGATTCTAGTCTTAACAATAACAATTATCGATGCAAGAAGACGGAGTGCGTTCCGAAAATGCAACAGGGGAAGATAACGGAGTATTTCAAGACGCACGGGAAGGCGAACGGTGTCAGGAAGCAATTATTGAAGATGAAAGGAGTAAAGGTTCCCCTAATTAGTCAGATTTCCGGGATGCGAAACACAAGGTCAAAAAAGGAAGCAAAAACGCGGACTGTTCCGAGAAAAATCCTTCCAGCCCCTAGCAAAGTCCAAGAAACTCACCCCCCAACAAACGTTCACCCTTTTACACCCACAGTCACCCTCACTGCCGTCAGTTTCCCTCCAAACCTTGCGTATCTTCACGCGAAAACTCCCAAGTCTCCCGACAACCTTTTTTTACCTCAAGTCAACTCGATTCCCCTCATCAACCGCGTACCCATCATAAACAACTTCAACTGCGTCAAGCTAAACGCCACGGTAGTGCCTATCGTTAACATAAATGCCTTACCGCCGCGGTTGAACGCTGCCCATGCCAACATCGCGCTCAGCGTGGACACGGCGATGCCTACGGTGCTGCCTGCCAGACCTAAGAGTTCATCGACGTCCTCTGCGCAGACCAAGCAGTTCGAAGGAGGGGTGGTGCAAACTTCTGCGCAGATGAACGGGACGCAGCAGCAGCGCAGGACAGAGAGCACGACGACAGAGGAGCCCTATAGAACGGAGGAGTGCCAGACGCATCAAGAGGAACGGCCTCAGGAACCGCCCGACGATAAGACATGGCAGGAGGGTGAGTAACAATCACTTTGAATAACTTTTTTAATAACTGAAAATTATTATTCAAAAAGCCAATTAGTGGAACAAATTAGTGGTTTCAATTACACTTTATACTTTTTAGTTTACGATATTCACAATGTTTAAAACACACAATTAAAATTAATAGAATATCCTAGCAACAGCTTCCATTAGTCTATTGTATCCATAGAGAAAGCCTAATATTTAGCTTATAAAACAATCAAAATTTGATTTCTAACCACAATTTCCCTTGACGGAAGATAATCAAATGCCAAAATGGCATTTCTCGTAAATTTTGAAGTATAATTAGTGGAATAGTTAAAAGTTTGATAACTTTTTCTACTAATTGAAAATGTCTGTCATTAATTTTGACGTTCTGAATACTTACATTGAAATTAAAGGAACAAACTTCTTCGCTAATTGAAACCACTAATTTACTCCACTAATTGCGAGGTTCTGAATGAAGCTAAACTGCTTTATCCAGCGCCTTAATCTTTCATTTGCAATGTTAGGAACTTAAAAGATATTCCGTAAAAAGCTGTTAGATTCCCTTCCTTTTTGAGAACGCTTACGGACGCCGAGTTGCCTTGGTTCGGTACCTCGGGCGCCACCCCCATAGTTTAAAGTGTTTGAGAGACCACTAGTGCCAGTACGGGTAGCTTTTATACAGTGGAGATTTCTGGCATAGATATTTCTGGGTCAGTTGGTTTTCTTATTTGTAGTTCACTTTGTATTATATTTTATTTTAACCAAGAGTGGGTTTTACTAATGGCTCAATTATCCAAATCAAGTAAAATTTCACTCTCAATATTATTTCTTTTTGATGTATCTAAAGGTGATATGTTTGCAACTAATTTCAGAATAATTTTAATGAATAATTCACGCACTATTCTATACAAATTAACCTTGTATAATAAGCCAAATACTAAAGTTTATAAAAAAACTAGTTTTACCAATTAAAGTACATACTACATTAATAAACAATTTAGTAAAAAAATCTCGAAAATAGGGCCAAAAATTAAAAAATACAATATTTTAAATTTTACTAAAAAAACAATTAATATTGCGATTTTTTTATTGTAGAGAGTCAAAGTCGAATACTGGACCAAAAATCCCCGTCACCCACCGATTCAGATAGTGGATTTTCGAGTCGGGGAAGTTTGGAGATCAGCGTGGACGAGCCTGTGACGGAGCCGCCCAAAAAGTCGCCCATTCTCTCACAGCCCAAGACAATCAGGTAAATTTTCCATTCATGCCGCCCACGAAGAACGACTTTTAATCGGTTGTGTTTTAGATTTCCTCCTGTTCAACGACAGAAAGCGAAAGAAGTAGGTCGAGATTTGGGCAAGAGTCCGCCACAGTCCACCGATGGTCAGTGTAGATGGAACGATTGTTCAGCACAATTTGACACCAGTGGGGCCTTATTAGAACATCTACAGGTAAATAATACCAAAACATTGCTGTTCATAACTATAGTTTGTCCATCGATAAAATCGTTGACAGTGATAGATATGATGATAGATGTCTCTTTCATTTTAATTTCAGTCGTTTATTTTGTTTTACGTTGAAATAAGTTAGTACAATTTTAATGCAAAGCGGGAAATTAATCTATTTATTTTAAATTTTAGTGACAAATGATTATAAAAATAGTTTGGGGTGTGTGTTAATACAAAAGTGTGTGTTAATACAAAAGTGTGTGTTAAACAAACACCACATACAAAAAATCTAAAAACAACTATTTCTTACTTTCAAACTTCAAGAAACCTACTGCATAAGCCTATCTATTTTCAGTCACTTTGCGAAAAGTCTAATCAGAGGCATATTAAACAATGATGATATTTTTTGTACACTTCTGCAAAAAGACTGCCTGTTTTCAGTCATTTTATAAAATACTAAATCGAGAATCTAGGCCAGGCAGATTAAAAAATGATCAAAGTTTAGACAGCTATGATCGTAAGCATATCGAATAATTTATGCTTTAATAAAAATACCCCATATTTTGCTATACAAAAACAATAGTTATTTATGTCAAAATTTTATTATTAGATCGTTTAGACGAAAATAACAACTTGAATCATATTTCATAAATTTTAATTATTAATAAGATAATTTTAAATACAAAATATATTAAAACCTTATTATTAATATCTCATTTAATTATTATACTCTGTGCGATTCTGTGGACAGGGCTATTGCTTTGTTGAACTTTGTTTTTTTTTAGAATAAAATGAATTTAGATCTTTATAATAATCATCCTCAACCATACTCCATTTAACAGAATCATCACTTTTGTGCCATTATTTCCAAATTTTGAAAGGGAAGTTCAAGAAATGTCGTAAAAAATGGATAAATTTAGGTTAGTTATATCAACACCGCGTAAAATGTTTTGTAAAATCTGACTAGTCTTCATTAGGCATTTTGCAAAGCGACTGAAAACAGATAGGCTCTTTGTAAAAAAATCCTTCTTTTGTTAAAAATGCCGGCGTTTTATAATAAGCCTAGTCTTTTTGCAAAATGCCGAGTTATTCGATACGCCTGCGACATAAATAATCCCATCCATAGTTAGCCTAGAAAATATTAGAAACTATTTTTAGTGAAATAAATGGATTGGTATGGACGTCATCTGTCTTTTTTCTGTCATCGTCTGTCGAAATTTTCCCTGAGTCGTAAAACAAAGTATAATATATGTTTATTTTCCAGGTTGAACATGTGATATCTCAATCTAGAGCCAATCAGGAACAATACGTATGTCTGTGGAGAGGTTGCAAGGTGCACGGGAGGACCTCCTGTTCCATATCGTGGCTGGAAAGGCACGTGCTGGCACACGCGGGGACCAAGCCTTTCAGGTGTATAGTGGACGGTTGCGGGCAGAGGTTCAACTCACAGGTTGGTACACTTAATATTGCGATTAGTAAAACTTTATATCACTAACACTAGATCGCCCTCTTTTTATGCTTGTTACACAACGTAAAATAATATGAAAATGGCAAACAAATATTTAGACAGGAACTTTCAGTATATCGTACATATTAGTGAAGAAATCTAAAATTTTTATTGTTAAATGAATGTTACAAACTATTAATAACATAACTACAAAAAACAAAATGTCCAAACATTAAATGAAATGTTTAGAAAAACATTTCGGTTAATGTTAAGTACTTACAATAATTAAAATATACATAATATTTTTTAAAACCAGTCGATAATCCTTCTAAAAACGCTTCACGAGAACTCCCAATGCTTTTGTCTTGCCAGATTTTTTAACAGAATGTTCTTCATTCATCCATGTTTCGTCTAGGTAGAAGATAGATTTTCCTTCTCTGCGATATTTACGAATGTCCCTTAGATATTGTCTTCTCCAAAAAATTATGTCTTCTTTGTCAATGAGTACAGACTTCCGATTATACTTTTCCCACGAGTTCTTTTCCTTTAAAGTTGTCCAAAGTTTTCTCCTTCCCATGACCGGCAAGTTTTCGTTTTCATTTACAACTTTCTGAATTTTATCGAGAGTTGGTATTGCCTTGTTTAAAAAAAGGCGTGCATGTTTCCCTATTATGCTTCTAGAACAGTCATCAACAACCTCCTCCCCATCAACAAGCTTCCTCCCCGTAGATGTTTTGGGTTCACAAACAATTCCACTTTTTCTCTCTTTCAGAACTCTATAAATCGTTTCACTAACTACCGTAATATTTGAACATTTCGTAACTAGGCTTCTCACAGTAGCCAAGGGATCTTGATGTACACAGAAATCATGAACATTTAAAAGTATAGTTATTCATGATAAAATCAACCTCAAACAGGGAATATAAAATCGTTCGAATTCAGCTAGAAAAATGCATAAGTTAATAGGTTGTATATGGATGTTCCCTCACATTGAATATGCGGTATGTCTGTTCTGTGCAGTTTCGCTCTCAATAACTGTCAGAAGTGTTCGTTTACGTAATGGCGTTACGAGTATTCGGTACGCAGAACTGCCTATTGTAAATCTTTTGTGCGTTTAGGACGTAAATGCGCGGTCTAATAAAATGTCTATACGATACAAGAGAAAACCGATGGGCAATAAAATCTCAGAAAATATTTCGTAACAACAAAGTAGATAATATTTTACAGCGAGCTTTAGCCTGGGTAATTTCTTTCAGTTTCAGAGTTCAGGGATTTTTTTCACTTTACGAGGGTCTATCGCTAAGTGTTATTGAAAAAAAAATCCCAACACCAAAATCTTTGACAGTGAAAGGTGTCTTTGTCATTTTTATTTTAAAGTTTATTTTATTTTACAAAGAAATAAGTTGGTACAATAATTAGAATGCAAAGCGGGAAATTAATATGTTTAAAATTAGTAACAAATGATTACTTCAAAATATTATGAAAAATCCTTACTAATATTATAAACGAGAATGTTTGTATGTATGGATGGATGTTTGTTACTCTTTCACGCAAAAACTACTGAATGGATTTTAATGAAACTTTACAATAATACAGCTTATACCGGGTGCGTCTCAAAAGTTCTCACCCCGATAACTTTTATTTTTCCAGATAAAAAACGAGATTTGGTATGTTAGTATATGACATAAATTAGAATTGATTGACGTATTCAATCGTTTTCGGTCCCTTCCTGTTTCGCCGGAAATGACTACAATTTTTGATTTTTAAATGGCACACTCGGTATTTTTCTACTTTATTCGATAGAAAATAACATTCTGAAAAGAATGACGTATGGTATTAGATTATTCGTAAAAAAATGCTTTTTCCAAATATGCTAATGAGCCAACCTCGTTCCTTTTGAAAAAATTGAGATATGATTAAACATACGATTCGAGTATTTTCTAACTGGCGGAAAAATAAAAAAGTTATAGGGGTGAGCCACTTTTGAGACGCACCCGGTATATCAGAATAACACATATAATTTATAAAGATATATTTATCATTTTGCAGAACGCTGGTTATTTGATATAATTTGACATTTGACACTAATAATAACCTAAAATATTAGAAACTTTTTTACTGAAATAAATAGATTGTCTCATCATCTGTCGAAATCTTCCCCGAGGTGTAAAACAGACTATACATATATTATACAGAGTGTCCTAGAAATAAGTGCAAGTATTTAAAGGAGTGGTAGATCCCGAGAAAAGACACATATTTTCTCTTTATCAAATAAGTCAAAAATAACGGAGTTATTTTACTATGAAAATTAAAAAAATCCTGGATCTTTTTTGGATTGGTTTGGCTTGTAAAAAAACCCTAATAGGCGTGTTTCTGGGGTTGAACTATACTACCAGTTAAAATACTTGCACTTATTTCTGGGACACCTTTTATAATCCTTACTCCTATGATTCCAAAAACGTATAATACTAATCAATCGTTTAATTTTGCAGTTGATGCTGGAAAGGCACGTCAACAGCCACTTCAACACCGACGGAAGCCAGAACACCAGCGCCAAAAAATCTGTGGAGAACGGCCCTGTTAAGCTATTCAAGAGGAATGGACGGATCATTCGGTTTCGGAGACAACCCTGGTCAGGTAATACTTTTTTACAGTTTTAATCCAAGACGTTCCAATTCCCCCACAACTCTACCCTATTCCGACATCTTTAAAACGACCCTTCTTTAATAAAAGCGACTCCACAGTGGTAGGTATTAGAATGCCTAGAATTATTAGGATAGAATGATATATGTTAAGAAGTGCTAAAACATTGTGGAACATTTCGTCATAAACGCGAAAAAGAATTTGTCAACCAAAAGTACATGTATTAGGGATGTACGATATTATCGATACCGATCAAATAAAAATCGATATTTTTCATATAGATACAAAAGTGTTAATAATACTAATAAAAGCAAAATAATTTTAGTTAACCGCAAAAATTAATTTCTGTCTTGAGATGCCATCGCTATTTGAATTAAAGTTATTTTGATATATGTCATGCGATTACTGTCGTAGCTGTCAAATTACAAAAATCTTTATAAAAATATCGCAAAAGGTCAAGAGTGAAAGTTGTTCAGATTTTGATTCTAGTCTTTATTGGTATCAAGTTTCATAAATATTTAGATACTTTCAAAAATGTCAATTGTTTTGATATTTTTCGGAAGATTTTCAAAAAATTCAATTTTTTCACATAAATAAACGAAGGAAATACAACAAGAATAATTTCTAGTACAACATTTTTCCTGTACTGTCCCGTAAATAATGTTAAAAATTAAAGGTGTCAATTTTAAGATACCAACCTTGAGGCGTAGAAACATTTCCAACCGACATCACAGTGGGGTATTTGACACAGATAGTTGATCGAATTTTTTTTATGTAGACCTTATATAAATTATTGCTATTTTCAATTAAAGAGGAAATAATATGAACAAAATAAAGGATAATTCGTCGATGCTAAAAAAAGAAAGAAAAATCACTGTTCCAGTGTTTCCACGGTCAATGCCACTAATACCAGTAGTAATATCGCAAGTAATATTACTAATGCTACGACTGATCCGCGAGCAATGCCCATACCACTAAAGTTGCTACTAATGCCAAATTGTGCTATACTGCTAATGGCACTAATGCGATCGCTTTGTACACAACAATGCCATCGCGGTTTACACCTCGCATTAGTATATCACTGATTGGCAAATTAGAGGAAACCAAGAATGTTTTTCTCATTTTATCAGCAAAGTCGCAAAAAGTCGCAGTATTTTATTTTACTGTATGAAAGCCCAATGTTTACTAAGTAAAACGTATATAGACAATATGCGGAATTCTTCGAAATGCGCAACTAAATCACTAAGTATAATAAAAATGTCACAAATTTAATCAAATTTTCTGAACGCCTAACTTTTAGTTGCAAAAAAATCGTTAGTATAGAGAATATCAAAATAAATAATATGTTTTTGTAGAATACATACCTGCAGCTTGCTGAGCCATTTTCAATCAAAACAATAATATAAACGTAAAAAGAGCACAAGAACAACAACAATTTATAATTTTAAACATAAAATTTAGCCATTTACCTCTTATCTGTGAGAAGTAACAACTTTGACGTTTCGTTGAAACGAATGAATGCAACTAAACACACCCATAGCAACGCCGTTCATGGCAGATATGATTTAACTTATCATTAATCTTTTTTTGGGAAATCTTCAACACTTTGCTTTTTCGAATTTCTATCACCTTTTTCATGCTAATACCCCACCGTGGCGACAGTTCTTTTTTTTCCTCTAGAAAGGGTATCAGATCATTTAGAAAGTAAATTATAGTTACTTGACCGGTTAGTTACAACAAATGTTTTTTAGGTCATGTCAAATTTTATTTGTTGTGATTAGTGATTTACGTAGAAAGAGTTGTGAATGTTGTGAAACTGTAAAATCGTAAAATAAAATTACTGTTTTAGAAATTATTTTTATTAGATATAAGATGTCTTACGTTTTATAAGAAAAAATACTTTTTTGAAAATATTTTTTGAATGGCCTTGTATTGATACAAGGACTTTTTTTTGTATATTTGTGAATATTGATACAGAGATGTAAAGTTGTTCAGATCTCCTTTCACTTTTTGCAATATTTTGTCATCTAACCTCATTTTTTGCATAATACGTAAAGCATATTTTTAATTTGCTTCAATGGCAGTTGTCATATTGTTGTTGACATGTCAAAACTATATTTTTTTTTGGTATTGGGATGCTTTTTTTCCGATGTAATGCGAAATTTTTGGCTTATGTACCCAGTATATAACATTTTTATAATTAAGTTATGCGAGATATCAATTGTTAAAAAATATATCAGTACTCTCGAAAATCGTATATAGTACTGTGCATCCCTAGTACACAGGAGAAGTCCGCTAGTCAAGGATGCGCTTATAAGTTAAAAAACACCCAAATGGATATTATTCAACCCATATTTTTCTTATTTATTGAATACATACATCCTCTTCACTTAAACTTATTTTTTAAAGATAATATATAATCAAATTAGGCAGACACAAATGTCACTATCAGGTGTTTTTCAGTACACTGAAAGTTATAGGGCTCACCCCTATAACTTTTTTTTAGATAAAAAATTGAGAGATTTAGTATGTTAGTATAAGACATAAATCTTGACATTGATTGACGTATTCAATTATTTTCGGTCACTTCCTGTTTCAGACAACTTTAACACTTATGTTTAACACGTTTGTAGATGGACACACTCGGTACGTTTGCCGAGAATAATAGGGGTTGCTCTTATAACAATAGGCAATAGAGATATTCTCAGTGACAGCACCAGTGTTGGGTATTAGGGTTTTAAGATTTCTAATCCAGAACTGGCCAATGCTATTGCTTTGCCAGATTTTCTTAACAGAATGTCCTTCATTCAGCCATGTTTCGTCTAGGTAGAATATATATTTTCCGTCCCTGCGATATTTACGAATGTCCCTTAGATATTGCCTTCTCCAAAGAATTATGTCTTCTCTGTCAATGAGTACAGACTTCCGGTTGTACTTTTCCCATGAGAAGTTGATTTCCTTTAAAGTTGTCCAAAGTTTCTTTCTTCCCATGACCGGTAAGTTTTCGTCTTCATTTACAATTTTCTGAATTTTATCGAGAGTTGGTATTTCCTTGTTTAAGTAAAAGGCGTGCACATTTCTCTTTATTATGCTTCTAGAACACTCATCAACTGTTCGGCTGAAATTCATTCAAGGGCAAAACAATTTATTTTCTTAAATAAAAAAGTCGCTTGATTGAATTTGTAAATGTTGTAGCGCCTATAGTTTATGATGTTTTATAGCCCCAGCCCTTCTCTCTGTGCTATCAAGCATTAAGAAACAGACTATAACATGTACCTTGAGCTAATAAGTTCTATAACTTAGAGACGTGTCCTTGGCGAATGGCTTTTCTGTACAATTTGGAAATCGTTATAAATCTGTTAAAATAAACTGTGACATGACATTATCAGAGAAATAATCAACCACTGATGGATTATGGGTAAACATTTTCAGTCGCCATATAGTGAACAATAGTGCCAAAAGATGTCAAAAATTGGAAGTATAACATAACTAATAACACTTAACACTTTTTAATCTATATACTTACTTCAAGAACAGTATATTTCAAATACTTTTTGTAGAAACTTTTGAAGTTATTAACTGTTTAATTTTTGGAAAATATTGTTCGGAATTTATTCTATTTTTCTGTTTTGCTGTCCAAACACCAAATGACAGAAGGGACACCAACGTAAAACCAAATTTTTGTTGTAGAGTCAGTTTATACAATTTTTTCTTTCTCATAACTTAAATACAACAAAATAGATAATTTATAATCGAACAGTTAAGAGTCTATTGCGCTGTACTGTTCGGGTGGCTCTCAGGGGTTGGGTAAAGCCGGTGTGCGGCCGAAAGAAATATATATTATATTTCAGAAATCTGCCTAAGGCTTAACCCGATCCTGCCGTGTTAAACCACACCTAAAATTCCAGACACACGTGCTTTAATTAAAGTTTGATTAAGGTTTGCAGAGCTTCAGCATTTGCCATAAAATAGCGAGCAATTTGTTACAAAACCATATAAATTATATATCACTATAATCACAAAACTTTAATCTATTTCCGTATTGCAACGGAATCTTAAATTATGTCTTTATTTTCGAGAAAATTTAGTCCAAACATTAGGTATATATTGTTGATGTTTGACCACCAAAATCTCAAAAATAAAGAAGTTATCTAAAAATGTGCTACAATACGGATATAGTATAATCCTTTATCTTTAATTTCCTTCTTCATTTGTGTAAAAATACCTAGTCAGTTTTACATAAAACGTTAAATGCCGAACGCTTCTTTTGCTACTTTTTCGGACTACTGAAATGGACTCTTAAGTAAACTTTTATCCTCGGATTTTGAATTCGAATTGATTGATGATTTGTGCAATATCTACCTCGAGATTAATGACATAACTATGTATTTCAATATGACTTACTATACATATAGTAAGTCATATTGAAAGAGTATTAAATAATGAGGTTGATTTTGGTGTAATGAGGTTGTGAGGAAAAAAGAGTTTAGAAAACTAGACTCTCTAACTTTTTTTTAGCCACCATAGAGGAACTAATTTCGTATTTGCAATTTCGCAGCTCGAATGTTTGATTTTATTGACTCGGGCATCATGGAGGGTCTGCAGCACAAGCTCCTCAAGATGACGCAGACGCGCACTTTGGGTCAGATGGGCAGCCCCGGCGAGACCATGAGCCTGCAGAGCCAAATCTTAGCCAAGAGGACGGACGCTAAAGGCTGCAAGGAGTTGCTGGTGCGGTGGCATCCCCGAGATGTGTAAGTAATAATTATGCTCCTCCCCCTTCTCTCTGCTCCTATATGAAGGTCATAGTATACCATTTGCTTTTATTTACAAAATCAGTATTATTATTTGGGGAATTTTGAAACATCGGCATCTGGTGACCACTAACAGTAATTCGTCCTGTATTTCATAAACCAAGGGGGCTACGACACAGCTGTGTGTAGTATCTTTAGTTTAATAAAAAAGTAGCATAGTGATGTGAAAACTGCATCGTTGTATCTCTACTCATAAACGAGAAACTTCATAAAACACTGACTGTTATCAGTTCACACTTGATAACGTCAGTCAGTGATACCATAGATAAAGGAAACAAGTTTAGATTGGAAAGAGCCCATAAGGACAATGTAAATACTATTTGGCGCTATTCTTTCAACGGTCGCTCTCCAAAGCTTTTGATAATTTCGGAGCGATTCGGCTTTTTCCGGAATTATGTCTCCAAAATTTATTCAAATTTATTATTTTTAATTTTTTAAACAAATCCAGTGTGTTGAAGATCAGCAAGTTTATTTTATATATGGACATGTTATGTATGAAATACGTATGAAACATTAGAAACCGACGTTGTACTACGACCCACGATGGTTTTTGCAGTTCACAGTTCACACAGCTTTTTAAGTTTTTAAGGCCATTTTTTCAAAATTTTCACGGGTTTGAGTAAATAAAATTTAAACTAAACTCACAAGATAGCAATAATTACTTTGAAAATGGACGCTTTAAACACTTTTCGGTATTTTTTTAATGAGGGTAGTTTAAATTTTGAAAGATTTTATAATTTTTGAAGATTCTGACCTTGACAAGAGAAAATTATTTCTGTTCTTGTTTACGGTTGTTCTTAGCAACCGCTATAGCAACGCCAGATCCCGTACAACGGGACCTGGCGTTGCACGCTGTTAATGTTAACGTATTATACACCCCAAAACAATAATTATAAGTTTTGGCGGCAAGCCGAGCATTCCAATCTGAACTTGTTTCCGTTTTCTATGAGTGATACTTCAATGTGTCAGTGAAGTGTTACTGACTGACAAATGCATGAAAATCGCTTCTTTATATCTTTATTCATAAACAAGACATTCTGTAGATGGAAATGGGACACCCTGTACAGACACCTAAAATATCCCATATTTTTAGACTTATGTATATCTATCCTTTGTTACCGATCTTTGTCCTTGTTTTCAGCGTTCCCGACGAGTGGATTTCCGAAAAAGAGTACAAACCGACCAAGGCGTTGCCCATAACCTCACTTCCCCCTGAAGGCCGCGAGGCGCTCCGCCCTGCCCTCTTCCCAGGCAACCAAGGACGGACCGGCCACAAGCACCACCGCAAGCCCCTCAGACCCACGACGTGATACTAATTTTAATAGAGCCCCGTCTCCCACGATGCGCCTGTAAATAGTACGATTTTTGGATGGAGAAAGTTAGGTTAAGTAATTCGCGCCTTCATTAGTGGTTATAATAATTATTATATAGCTGCCGTGGTTACTATTGACCACAGTGATCAAAGTTTAAATGGTCAAATTGATGATGAACAAAGAAACGACACGGCTAACGGCGGTTTGGTTTTTGTTTAAACTACTATTTGTATCATGACAATTTTTTTTTGGTAAACTTATGGGAATGTTGTTACAAACAGTGTACAGAAAATACAGGGTATCCCATTTTCGAATGTTTTGCAGGGTTTCTCGTTTATGAATAGAGCTAGAAAGATGCACTGTTCACTGTGCTACTTTTTTATGAGGATGCTACACATGTATTAGTCCTAGCCTTATTGGTTCCTGAAATACAGGACGAAATTGAAAATGTTGAATTTTTCGACCCCCTTTGTATCTCAGTTATCTTATAATTATTGATCGAAAAGTTGAAAACTGTGTCCCGTAGAGTTTTTCACGTAGTATTCAGTGGTTTCTACGTAAAATACTCTAGGGTATACCGGGTGAATTTAAAAAATGTATCATTTTCAAATTCTCCCTGTATTTTAGAAGCCAAGGGGGCTAGGATAAATTTGTGTGTACCATCTTTAGTTCCATAAAAACGTAGTAGTGATATAAAAACCGCAATTTGTAACTCTACTCATAAACCAGAAACCTCATAAAACACGAAAATGGGACACCCTGTAATTTTTTTATCTAATAAAAATACTAATATAGGATTTTTAAAATTGACTTATCCTAGTTATTTTTAACAAATAGCAATAATTGCTAACAATAAAAACATTATTAATTAACTATAAAAGAGTTTTTTAATTGATTAGTTTGCCACTCATATATTTTTAATTATTTTTTGAAGCCTCTTTCGAAGATTCACAATTATTTGTATTGTCATTATACTTGTTTACTTATATATATTATACTTGCTTACTTAAACACTTTTCTTATGGTGGGTTCATGCTTCCGATCTTAGCCCTAACACTAACATTAGTCCTAACCCCAAGAATTAACTATAAAATAAACAAAAAATAATACAAAGTAAACACAGAAGAATGCAAATTGTGTTGGCTACGATGACGTTGCTTCCATTTTTGATCTACGAATAAAAATAGTATTTATGACTCCTTGCTTAGTATTTTTTTTTCACCAGCAATATTTCTGAAAGTTTACAGAAGTGATCCAATTACAAATGTATAGATTATTATTATACTTATAACAATTTTTTATGGTTATTTTTTTTAATTTCGTGTACCTTATTGAGACACTTGAACCGCCGTTAGCTGTACTGAAACGTAGAATTTATCATACAGAAACTGCTAAAAGATGTAGAAATTCCTAAACAATATAAATATTAACAATACGCACAAGAAAAATAGTGGTTAGTATTTTATTTTCTAGAGCGTAGGTGTCCTAACATGTAGTTTCATAAAAATAGAATCTTAAAATTCAAGAAAATCTAGTTTGAATCCATTTAAAAACTACTTTCTACAGTATGTCCCCGGATTGTCTTTTCAAGGGAAAAACTTTTTTATTATTGACATTTTGAGATATCCCGTTTATACTTTTCCAAATTTCCATACCGTTTTCCAGAAAATTCCTAAAGTAAAAAAACGTCCTAAAAACCAAAAGTTGTTTCTATGATAATTTAATTTAGATTTCATTCTTTGATAGATGGTTATTATTCATTTTGAATAACGTCATATTCTTTTCTGTTGTTAAAGTATCAAATTTTCCGATAACTATTATCACCCTTTCAAACTAAACCAAACTATAGCAACAGAAAATGAAACTAGAATGACTAGGGGCATTATTTATGTTCATACTGTTTTCGTTCCTTTTAATTTGCCTTTTTTAGGTTAGGTATTTAAAATTTAAAAATAAATATTAATACAAGTAACTGAACCAAAAGTATTTATTTAGCTAAATGTTGGAACACCCTACGCCATTTTTGTTTATATGTTTAGCTGTGATAATAGATTGTTTTTTCTTTCTGGTTTTTGTATGGTAAAATGATAAAAACGACGATTGTGACGTTGGTTTAGATTGTTCGTTTTTCGAGGACTTGTTGTGCAGAAAGAAGTCCATTGCCAACAGAATAATTCCAAAAAAGACTTATTTTATTTTAGTTAGATAATTTTTCGTATTGAGTTATCGCTACATTCAAAACTTTAGGTTAATTAGTTGATTATTTAACAATATTTTCAAGCGTGAGTTGTTGGAATCAAAAATTAATTTATATTGAGGAGATACTAAAGACTTATTAGTACCCTATTATTTAATAAAAAACGACGTCAAAGTAAGCAGAGAAGTAGCACATTAGTTTTTATCTTGTTTTTTATCCTGACTGTCACGTGGTTATTATCAATTACACCAAATCTCAAATGGTGAAGTAATATTTTTTAAAATTAAATAGGTAATAATAAAAAATTAAATAAGAAAAATCTCTTTAGATATTTGATGTTGCAAGTTTTATTTTTTTTATATTTTTTTGAAGAAATTAAGATTGCAACGTTTGTGATAAAGTTTCAAAATTAATTGACATTTTCATATACAAATATGAGATAACCAAAGTAAGATTGTTTTCTAATACAAAATTAAGTATAGGTAAATTTTTATGTAAATAATTTTTTTATTAGTTTTATCTTAGAGAATTCAAGACGGTGTTGTTTCGGTAAGCGTGAAAAATCAAAATTAGTGATTATTTATTTATTAAGTTGGTATGTTTTTCTGACTGTATATGGCACTGATTGAGTGTCCACCTATATTGTGTTCATTTTTTTCGTATAAATGTAGCTAGGCGATAACAAATTTAAAAAAAGAATCAAATTTTTAAGCGACAGCTATAGGTTAAGTGTAAAGCTTCATTCAGTATCTGGCAATTAGTGGAATAAATTAGTGGTTTCAATTACACCTTATATTTTTTAGTTTACGATCATTCACAATGTTTAAAAACATAATTAAAATCAATAGAATATCATAACAACACCTTGCGTTAGTTAGTTGTATCCATAGAGAAAGCCTACAGAATAAACTTATTTTTAATTAAAACAAACAACTTTTGATTTCTAACCACAATTTCTCTTGACGGAGGATAATCAAAATTACATTTCTCTCAAATTTTGAAGTATAATTAGTGGAAAAGTTAAAAGTTTAATAACTTTTTCTACTAACTGGAAATGTCTACCACTAATTTTGACGTTCTGAATGCCTTACTTTGAAATTAAAGGAACAAACTTCTACGCTAATTGAAACCACTAATTGCGAGGTTCTGAATGAAGCTTAACAAATAAAAATTCATAAATTAAACTATTTTATTGAGAAAAAAGTCTCTAGAAATTAATATCTCAATGAAAAGAAAACCGCAATTGGTTTGTTTGCAATTTTGAAGTCAAAATGATAGATGACAGTCATGTTATATTGAAGTGATCATCATATTAACTTTCAATTAATGGGCAAATCAATTGCAGTATACTGTTATTACAGGAACTTTATCTTTTAAACGTTTTTAAGTTATAATTTTGTGTTTATTTATTTTGTTTGTTTTGGCAAATCCCTGTCAAGTTTGCAATTATTCTGTTGGCGCAACTGGGCGAATTGTAAAAAAAGAAACTACATGGTGAGTCGCGTTCACATTGTAATAGGCTGTATGTAAGTTGTAAGTAAGTAAATAAGTTAGGATAGATACAAGACGGATGTTGTGACCGTTTGAGCAACCAGTTAATTGCCCACTGCCATTATTGTGGTTTTTTAAACTTTTCTAAATAGGTAAATATTAATCGTACACGTAGTAGGATTAATTACATTTGATTTTCTTAACGAAAAAATAAGCGTATTTCTTTCTTGTATGTTCGCAATAACTTTGTAGGTAAGATAATGATGTGTATATTGATATCTTTCTGTGAAAGGAACGCCCTGTATATTTTAATTATTGCGGACCCGTATAAAGTTATTTGCGCTTTTTTGTCGATGATCAATCTGCAAAAAAATGTAACTTAAATATTTTGGTGCTTTACTCTTTTAATTTTTTGTAGTTATTTAGTTAAATGGCCTCACCAGAACAATTTTATTTGAAAGAACGACTTAATACTTAATTCAAATTGTCACTGCCATTTAGAACTGCCAATCATAGTAAGTTATTAAATTATAATTTGGCCATAGGAATATTTAGAGTTAGGTAACAAAATACTTCAATTAGTTTTTTTATTCGTTTGTATGGCAATAACTGCCGAAATCAGATATGAAATGGTACATTTTTCCATTATTATTTTTAAAGATTTACATTTTTTTTAATAGCTTCAATAATATATGACAAATATTTAATCAAATTCTCTAAATTAATTTTTCTTAATGTTGTATCTGATTTCAGCAGAATTTTAAATGTTTTTTTTTTCAAAATTGTGCCATTTAATTTAAAAATCTTCCCCTTGTGTCTGTGTAAATAAAAAATCATTTTCTATGATGCGCTAACAAAAATGTCTCTTTGTAAATCTGTGTTCCGTTATAATGATCCTTTTCTTTCATTATAACAACCGAATTTTCGAAATGATCTCAAAAGGTGTTCTATATTAGAATTTAAATTTTCGAAACTCGTCGTGCTTTGTCGTTTTTAGAATTAATTGGTTTTATTTATTTTTTAACTTATGAACAATTCCGGAGGATTTCGCAAAAAAGTTGAATGGATAATATTGTACAGGCTGGACCAAAAATATATTTTTTTTTCAAATTTAAATTTTTTATAGTAATTGGATATACTACCAATCTTGTATTATTTTCTGAATAAAACCATTTTTGCGAGAATAGATTGATTACTTGATTTATAACAGAGTTAAAATTTTAAAAAAATCTTTGAGAAAAAGGCTTTAAAAATTATTGTCGAGAAACTATCGTCCGCGGGCTAAAATTGAATATGAATTTTAAAAATTTATATACAACTATATACGTGATGTTTTTCAAAAGTGACTCACCCTTATAACTTTTTTATCAGATAAATAAACAAGATTTGGTACGTTCGTATATGACATAAATCAATGACAAAACGTCAAAAGTTGACATACGATATGTCATTCTATTCAGAACATCATTTCTATGAAATGAAGTAAAAAAATATGTGTCATTTAAAAATCAAAAGTTGTAGTCATTTCCGGTAAAACAGGAAGTGACGGAAAAGGGTTGTATACGTCAATCAATCCCTAATTTATATCATAGACCAACATACTAAATCTCGTTTTTTATCTGAAAAAAATTAAAAAAAGTTATAGGGGTGAGCCACTCTTGAGAATAAAGAAATATAAAATTGATTTTAATAAATTGTGCGTTGATTATATTGGTAATACGTTCAATTTTTAATGCGCATGCGCCAAGTAAGGTAGTAGCAAAGGATAGACTAATCTTATGACGTTCATATATCCACCTAAGTTTATGTGATCTAGGGTTTTAGCTTTATGTGATAAAACATTCATTGTCATTTATTTCATTTTTATTTATTTTAAAGTGTTTATCAAATTTTAATTGTAATTCAGTCATAAACGATATATTATAGTACAAAATAAACCTTCTGTATTTATTAGTTGGAACGAAAATTTAGTTTAATTTTATTTTTTGAAGGTTTATAAAACCATATAACTGAATTATTAAATTATAATCATTTTTATCAGTTCTGTACATAATTTATTCATCCAATTTTTTTTCGTGTCCTCTATTCAAACGTTAGTACTTAATCAGTGCATTTATCATAAAAAAGTTCATCCATTTAAATTATTTGCTCATTATTACATTATTTGATAATATAGACTGAGAAATAATACAATTTTTTTTTGTTTCGTGAATTAGAATAGACTGATTTATCAATTGAATACTTGATATAAAAGTACATAACTACAGAAACACAGGTAGATAATTTCAAAACATCGTAACTGGCAATTTTTCGTAATATACTTATTGACTTGTACATAAACCCACGATTGTGCTATATACTTACATAAAACGTACTTACCTCGAAAACGAATTGTACGTTTTTGATTCGGACAATTCGATTTTGACAATGACAGTTATATAGCACATGGCGTAGTAAAATTCCTGTAAATACTAGTTATATGTATCGTATATCGACAGCGGATCAATGTAAAATACAAAAAGACGAAAAATTCAGATTTTTTACTCTTACAAAATAGTATCCAAAGACACACGTGTAAAATGCATTCGACATGACAAGAAAAATTAAAGAACTAAATTTTATAAACAAAAGTATTCTTTATAAGCGGTATTTTAGTAACTCACTTGAAGAAAAGACTTAAAAAAGAAACTTTATTCTAGTTACATATATTATGTATAAATTTAGTATATTTGTGTTCATTTTTATTACGTATCTTATATTACAACTGGAAACAGGATGGATTTGGTTTGTGCTTATTGACCTGTCAATTTTTTTTAATTTCTGCTCTTCTCTATTTTATAGCAAAAAATCAACTAAATTTTTGATAATAGTAAAATTTTGCAAAACATACAGGGTGTCCCAGGCTGAGCGTGCATTAGAAGTTTCTAAAGAAGTGCAGTATCTAGATCGGAGATTTTTTCTACATTCTTGTTTTACAACGAGATCTATCGACTCAAGATATTTTCAATATGGCGGCACTTTAAATAGGTACCCCCATTTTTTATTGCGTCCATACTTAAATTCTCTGAAAGATAGATAGATTCTCTTAAAATTTGGACAAGAAACTGCCTGTCAAAAAAGTTTGAATATTCCAATGTGACACAAAGAGAAGATATGTGGCTAAAATTAAATTGTTCGAATGTCATATAATATTAGCTATAGCTGTCATTCAACTGTGCGATTAAAAATTATCATAAATATTTTTTGTCAAATGGAAACTCACTTTTTTTTATTCCACTAGTGAAAAGTTAAAAAAAAATATTTATGAAAATTTTTCAATCGCTCAGTTCCATGACAGCTACGGCCAATATTATAATATGACATTCGGACAATTTAATTTTTAGGATAGCCACATGTATTCTTTTTTTGTCACAGTGGCTGTGGCAATCACTAAATTTGACATTTAGGTTATATAAATTTTTTTAACAGGCAGTTTTTTTCGTCCAAAAAATTTTAATATTTTTTTTCTCAAAAACGATTACTGTTAGGTATAGTGCGTCTGATATCAAAATTCATAAAATTTTACAGAGAATTTAAGTATGTAAGTAATCAAAAATGGAGGAACCCATTTAAAATAAGAATGATTGTTGCTGTCAATTTCCGGTATTTCCGGAAGTGTCGCCATATTGAAAATATTTTGTCGATAGATCTCGTTGCAAAACAATGATGTGCAAAAAATCTCCGATCTAGTTCTCTAGAAACTTGTAATGCTCGTTCAGCCTGGGACACCCTGTATAAGGTAACTTAACACCCCTTTAATTTGTTAGGTTAGGTAGAATCCTTTAAGAAACATTCTAGTTTTCAAAATAAACATTTTTTATAGTTTAGAGTTTGGAAATAATATATTATCTAATCTATTAAATATTTCAAAAACATTTCCCAAATCCATCCTGTTTCAGGTTTAATTGAATTTTAATCAGTTGGAGATTGTTGAAAGAAAGATTGCTTGAGTCAAAGAATTTAACTAAATGTTAAATAAAAATATAGGTAAATATGTAAGAATGGTTGGGCGAATTAAGCGACTCCTTTTTTTTACCGAAAATCAGGGGTCACTTAACGTCAAAACCGAATAAGGATTTGTTTGACTTAAATATAAGTGTTAGTGGATTAATAGATTATTTGATAAAAGGGAAAACCAGTTGTATATTAAGCTTGAAGTTGGATATTACATATATAATATATAGACATATGTCTGTCTCTTGCTATCTGTATAATTTAAACAGTATCAAAGAAATTGAAAACTCTAACCTAATTGGTGTGTTTCATATAAAGAAATGTTAGTTATTTATAAAGTTTTAGCGGGAATATGCATATTATATCACAGAATCGTATAAAATTGATTTTGTCGAAGCTTATATCATACGATCGAAAAAAAACGGCGTCA